TTACAGTATGGGGAGATGAGCCAAGGTTAGTGATGTTACTGGGATGCTCGTATAAATCGACCGCGGGTGTGTTGGTCCTGGGCTGCATATCTTCAATGATCGACGACAGTTCGGTGTAAAAGCATCACCGTTTTGGACTGTCCGAGTGGTCACTTATACTCTTTTCATTTCCAACTGCTATGAGCAAGTAAAAGACCCCACTGGCCGTTTGGGCCCTGTGGACGGAAGGAATTAGAAAAAGTAAGGGCATGCCCTGTCCATCGAATTTCACTTTTTGGTACGGTGCTTACCGGGTATCTGACCGAGAGTCTGATTGTTTATATAGTTCCATCCTCGACCTGTCATTTCTCTCAGATCATCTGTGGCGAACTTCGTTTAATCCTCTTTTATGTTTGTTAAGCTATTCTTTTCTATGTGTTTGACTTCGTATTTCTTTCAACTTGCATTATTTTGAGCTCCTTTTTGTTTCCGTTCCTCTTTGTTCTGTTAAACTGAATTAAACGGCATCTACAAAAAACAGAAATCCAATAATCCCGTAAACTTTTCAAACAGAAAACGGGGCCACCACAGTCTGCAGCTGCCTTACTTCATTTTAATTATACTTTCATTGCGCCTTTGTCCTGAGTGTGATTTTTTTGCGTTCCCGTTTGCATGGAAACTAAGATTTTAGTCAAAGATGCTATACCGCGCTTTTTACGAAAAAAGAAGAATTTTAAGATTTTGCTTAAGCAACTTTTGCTTGATCTTAAAACTTTGTTTAATCTTAAACAGATTTTAAGCAGAGATTAAGATCTTGCGCTTTCCTTCTTAATGAGGAGGGTTCTGTTTCATCCATAAGCATGAAAAGCTAAAAAGAAGATCGTAAGCAATGTTTGGGCGAAGTAACCACGGGTTTTAACCAGCAGTTGGTTGACGTTGGCACCAAATTGAATTACTACTATCACTTGGGCTACTTCCGGATGCTTCCGTCTTCCACTGAGACCGTTGTCTAAGTTTGAAGGCATGAGATTTCGGATCATTACTACTGCAGATGTGTGTTTCAGAATCACCAGAACGAAGGTTCATTGATGGCAAATGGTATTGCAAGGATGGGAATAGTGGTTTCCTGATGTACGAGCAGGATCAGTGGGTTGCTGCTAGCGGAGATAGTGATGATCTGAGTCAAAAATGGGATGCTGCTGCTTCTGCGGCCAGCACTAATCCATATCGATGTGTTGTGGATGGTGTCGAGATGGAATGGAATCAGATCAGCCAACAGTGGTTACCTGTTGTTGAGGTTTTTAAAAATCTCTTGCATTTTGATGAATTGGCTCGAAGAAGACAACCCAGTTGAAGCTTCATTTGTCATTCAAATCCATCCGAGGAAAAAAGGAGGAGGATTTTTTTGTCTTCTGAAGGGTTTTTGACCTGTCTTTTCAGCCGTTTCAATGTCAGTTTTTGAGAGTTTTCTGAGGAGTAACATTTGTCACTGTAGGCAGCAAAACTTTTCCCTTACTAGTTGTATTAGGCGTGTTTTCGCTGATTATCGGACACTCAGTATTCTGGGGATAGCTATCAGAACCCAGGACTGGGCAGGATTATATACCTATGTTTGGACTAACCGATTTTCAGTAGGAAATCCGCAGCTGGAAAATGGCTTGAGTTATACTGCATTGGCGGATGCATGCACTCATTGCCGTGGTTTCCTATGGTCATCCCCTTCAACTATAACAAGAGTCATCTGCCTGGCTTGTCCAAATAACTTATCCTGTAAAATAAGGGGATTTTGGCCGTCTAATCGAATCCACTGTTGAATCCAATCCGCCAATTTTAGCCTGAAACGGACACGCTATAAGTGTCAAGCCCGTTTTTCAGTGATTAATGGAAAAAGAAAAGCAATAGAAATACATAAATTATAGGTAAACGAGGACTTCTTGGCTCAGTATCATTCAAATTATGGCATTCAGTACGATTTTGGCGAAAAAGAAGGGCCAAGCACAGCAGACAAAGCGGCGGAAGAGAAGCACGAAGAAAATTCGAAAAAGAATGCCAAAAAACATAAGACACACGACAAAAATGAAAAACAAGGTGACTTCTTGTACATTTTCGTTGACAAAATTCTGGACCTTGTATTTTTTTTAACTTTTTTGGGATTTGCCGAAAATTTTATGAATCGCTTGCAATAGATGCAGTAATATGTTGAGCTGGAAAAAAATGAGAAACACAAATTGTCTGTGTTTTTTACCGGCAGTAGATATACTTCTTGATTTTATACCTAATTCATTTATCTAGAATATCTGTTAATTCATCTAAATTGCTTGCGTAATTCGGAGTTTTTTACATTTTATTGCTGTAGTATATTTTATTGCTTTATTGCTATTGCTAAAGTTAATGTTTCTGGCTTCATCGGTTACCTTTTTAATGAGATTTGTCTTCTTTTAGCTAATTTCAGTGACTTTTTGGCCAGTTCTCCCGTATTTTTGACCAATTTCCCCTACACCTCAGCTGACCAGCTTACCAAAATATGCTTGTTTCTGAGTTTTTTGCATTTTTTGCACCCCAGTACAGCTTGCTTTCTCTTATTTCTCCTTTTTTTGCCATTATCGAACGATATTGTTTAGATCGCTCGGATCTTTCAGGTTGGGTTGAATTGGAAGACGAAAGGAACACTTCTGTGTATGTATCCAACTTGCCGCTGAACATTACGGAGGAATCATTTGTGGTGAGTTTCGCACATCATTTTTTGTGATCCGTGTGGTCGTTTTGAAAGGCCACGTCTCTTTTTTATCAGAGTAGCTCGTTTTCAGGAACTGATGAGTAAATGTGGTGTGATACAGCGGGATGCGAGGACAAATAAGTTAAAAATCAAACTGTACAAAGATGAAGACGGGTCGTTGAAAGGAGACGGACGGTGTTGCTATATAAAGGTTTGCACCCCTTTTTGTTTTTTTTTTTTTTTCATAATTTTACTCTTCGATTGTCTGTACCAAGCACTATGCTGTGCGGTGCTGGAAGCAATGCAACACTTCAGAAGGAATCGGTCGATCTGGCTTTGGATATTTTGGATGGCTGGAATGTAGATGGGAAAAAGATTTCGGTTGTGAAAGCGAAATTTGTAATGAAAGGAGAATTTGATCCAACCAAGAAGAAAAAGAAGCTTACAGCAGCACAGAAAAAGCGTTTCATGGAAAGGCAGGAAAGGTTAAACCAAATTCAGATCATTCTCTCACGTAGTTCTTGGATTTTCATTTTCACCAGTGATTCTACCACTTTTCACATTTTCAGGATTTTTGATTGGAAGCCAGAAAAACCACGAAATTATCGTCCATTGAGCGACTGTACAATCATTATGAAGAATATGTTTACGCTCGAACAAATGATGGTGTGTTTAAAATTTCCCTGAATTCAAAATTTTCCTCATTTTTGGGACCGAATTGATTCCTCTAGTACAGGTTATTTTCAGAAGAATGCTGCACTGCTGCTGGATTTAGAGGAAGAAACAAGAAAAGTGTGCGAACGATTTGGAGCAGTCAAGAAAGTCGTCGTTCACGACGTAAGTTAATTCCGTTTAGTCCGTTTTAATTTGTGTGACAACTTTCGTCGAAATCATTCGCACATTCTACTCATAATTTTTATTGCGAATTTGTCGCATTTGCAACACATGGTGGAAGGAGGCTGTACTGATGATCCCCGCTCTTACTCGCACGCAAAGCTTTCTCTGTGTTTACGGCTAAGGGAGACGCCTAGCCCAGTCCTAGAATCCTTCTGGACGAGTACATATACGTGCATAACGAAGAAGTTGCGAAATAATGACACCTTCTTGCACCGTTTGGTCCATATCA